TTTGGAAACTTAATTTGCTTTTTTTTTTTTTTATTTATTTTTTTTGTGGAAACAGGGATGGTTTTTTTTTTTTTTTTTTTTTTTCTGGGCTTGTAGATTAGATATAGTAGGGGTGCTCCGATTGATCGGCTATCGATCATTATCGGCCGATAATCACGTTGGGATGATTGATCGGCGGTCTCTAAAAAGGCAGATCTCAAAAAAAACGATCTGATGATGCGCCTGCTGTGAGATGTTTGGCAGACATGCAGTGGCACTGTCTCCGTTTCTGTCTGGCACGGGTAAAACGATTATAATGCTTTAGGTGATGTACAATTCATATTTCTTCATTAAATAACCTATGAAGTAATTTGAAAACTTTCTGTGAGGCATAATTTCACAAACCGCGTGAGTGAATCACCGCGTGCTCTTTCCCTCTCAAAATACGCAAATGGCTTTAAATCACATCGCGTCTGCACCATAAACGAGCTGCACAGCTGACATAGGAATTGTCACTTGCGCTATCGAGGCAGTGTCGCATCATCACTAAAGTTTATAAATTGCATTTCATTTTAATTCTTGCTTTAATCATTCAGTGCTCTCCTGGAGACCGTGCACTCATACACACTCGCAGCCCACACACATAATGCCAGGTTGCAGTGTGTATGTGGTGAGTATTTTTTTCCATGCTCATGTTAACGGATTAAAGCGTTCACACTGCACACGGTTGCAGTGCGTTCCAGGAGCGGTGCGTCTGCTGCAAGCGCTGAATTAAAGTAACAGCACATTGTTTGTGGTAAATATGAACATGGATTGACACGAAAATGTAGTGATTACACCATAAATGCATATAATTAAAGTCTACTGCGTTTCATAAACACATAGGCTATGGCTTTTTGGCTAGGTTTAAAGGAGAAGAGCACTTTTAGATAAGGCAATAATAGATGGCATTCGTGGAGGTAGGAAAACAAAGTTATTTATAAATGCAGGATTGCTTGTAATTTTAAATGCAAAAGAAAAGGCAGTAGAGCTGACCGTTTCTGTCAATAATCACAAACATTCTAAATGAAAACTTATCAATGTAAGAGAAGTAGTTTAAATGGGTCCTATTATGCTCTTTTATGAAGTCTTGATTTTGTTTTGGGGGTGTTGGGATTGGTTAGCTGGGCCAGCGTGGGCTGTGATTGGCGCCTGGTCGGGAAATGTCATACCCCTTACCATAGCCACCTGCGAGCTTCAGTGTAAATATTGCGTCAAAATCAAATCAATTTGAGCGCGATTTAAACCCGGATGATTGTAACCACTCTAAGTTCTTCTGCCTTGGGAAAGCTATAGTCTTCGTACGTGTATATAGACTTATTTAAAAAAAAAAAAAACCTTTTGACGTGTGTGTGTGTGTGTGTGTGTGTATCTCCCTCTCCAAACTTTTCTTTAAGAACATCCTAGTAATTCTCCAATTCTCTCAATGTATTTGCAAATATCAAAGACACATTAGCACTATTCGCAACTAAACTTAAATGGTCCTGTCTGTGTTAATCCTGTGATCCAGAGCTCAATCTGAACGGCTTCCTGCAGCAGCAGAACACGACGGCTCAGTTCTACTCCGAGCTCATGAGGAAGCTGGAGCGCATGAATGGAACTCTGGGATACATGCTGCTGTATCTGGACAATATGCAGAATCGACTGGAGGACAGGCTGCATATGATCCAAGGCTATCTTGGCTGGGCAGGTACTTGGATTGTGTGCAAATAAATAAACAAGAAGAAAAAAATATTGGAATACGTTTTGGATAAATGTGTAATTCTCTTCCTAGGCTTGAGTCTGTGTGCCCTGTGGACCTGTGTGATGCATGCTGGTTACTTCCTGTTGTCTGCGATGCTGCTGTCGTTCCTGCAGTGTGCCACGTTCTCCCGCGTCTCTCTGCTCCTCGTGGTCCCAATCAATGCAATTGCAGAGATCAACCAGCAGTCTGCACTCGACTTGGGCTCTCTCACTTTGTTGTTGTTCACACTTTCGATAGGTAGTGTATCTGTACTGAGACTGTACAAACGATTCATCTCTGCACTTTTAAATGTTTTGTTCACCGTTTGTTCATGTTCTTAACATTTCTTGTGTTTCTGATCCAGGTCGCTGGTTTGTCCTGCAGATGCTTTGGGCGTTGTCTAAAATTAAGGGTCAGACCTGCAGTCCCGCTCCTCTCCCTATAGGCCCTCCTAAAGAGAAGACTCCAGAAAAACAGAGCCGATCATCTGAGCGCTGCCATAAGTCCTCTTCCACTCCTATCCTGTGAGTTTAAGATTGTGGAGGAGAGGGAGGAAACGAACCATTAACTAGCAACATTTCTTATATTTTAGTGCCATTTCAGACTTAAATATGCTGTTGTATGTTTACAACTTTTGTTTTCAAATTCTCCTCTTGTAGGAATGACCCAGACTGCGATTTGGAGGTTGAGAGTTTCATGATGGGTAAATTCCTCTTGTGTCTCTTGTTCCATGTGTTCACAAAGTCACTGTCTGATGCGTATGGAACGATATTCCGGACAATTTTCAAATAGAATAGCAAATTGTATTTTCAATTGCGTTTTCAATATGTGGACGCATAAATTGTGACAATCCAAATGCAATTGCAAATCCTGCATTAGCGTTTGCATTTTCGCTTTCGCGAACGCACAGTGACTGCCAAATTTCAAATGAAAAAGCAAAGTCCGTGCAATTAATGGTGTTTGCTTATTTAGGGTTAGACAGGACTGCACTGTATTTATTGAACTGCTCTGAAACCGCAAACAAAAGAACACAACAGCACTACACTTAAATGTGAAGTTAACTGATCACATGAGGCAGAGTCTCAATTCCTGTTTTTCCTTTGCCTAATTTTCATTTTAAGAAGTCTAAAATTTAGTTGTACTGTCCCAAATTTAAATGTACTCGCCCTCATGTTATTCCATACCTCTATGACTGACTGAGTTTTGGTTCTTTTCAACCTCCTTTGTATGAACAAATACTTCAATGGAAGTCAATAGGAAACTAAATTCTAACATTTTAAAGGGATAGTTCACCCAAAAAGAAAAATTGTCAATAGTCACCGTATGTATGCATACATGCATGTGACAGAATTTTCATTTTTGGGTGAACTATTCCTTTAAGCCATTTAAAGGCAGAGAGGGATTTCTGGTAGCCAATGTTTATATTTGAAATCACCAAAACACAAACGCCCGTACCCCAAAAGGGTCTTGCCCCTATTTTGATAACTCCGCCCCACATATACGTACGCAACCCAGGCAACGATTAGTTCTGTGAAACAAAGCAAAACCAATGTTACACCGTGTCTACGGACGTGAGCGGCGCAGTGCGGCGCAACAAATCCCCGAAAGAAAACTGCTGCCAGGTTCTATTTATGACGTGCTGACACAAATT